ACTACCAATACTAATAATACTGCATCTGATGCTGCTGCTACTACTACTATTACCACTATTGCTACTGCTGCCGCTACTGATGCTAATGCTACTGCTGCTACTACTGCTGCTACTACAACTGCTGCTGCTGTTACTGCTACTACTACTACTGCTGCTATTGCTACTACTGATTCTACAACCACTACTATTACTGCTGCTGCTACTGTTATGAGTACTACTACTGCACTGATGCTGCTACTGTTATTGCTACCACTGCTACTACTATTGCTACTGCTACTGCCACCTTTACAATTACTACCATTACACTACTGCTGTTTCTACTACTACTACTACTACTACTACTACTACTACTACTACTACTACTACTACTACTACTACTACTACTACTGCTGCTGCTGTTGCTGCTGATGCCTCTGCTGCAACTACTACTGCTGCCACCATTATACTACTGCTGCTACTAGATCAACTGCTAATCTCAGTCAGTTAGTCAATCAGTCAATCAGTCAGTCAGTCAGCAGCATATCCTTTGCAGAACCTTGTTTCGATAACCCTCCGGAAAACTTGTCGAACCGAAGCAAGATGTCTCGCGTCTAGTACACATCCTGCAACCATATTTTCTTTGACTTTCCTCTTCCTCTCTTCCTAGGCATGTACCCCTCAATTTTTGTTCTCTCTGAACTTTCGTGACGTTTCAAGTGACCAGAATATTTCAATTTTCTATATTTTTTAGTCTTCAATAGCCAACCTTCTTCCATATTCAGTTTTTGAAGTGTAGATGAATTTGTTCTTTTCTTTACTCGTGATATTTTGAGAACCAGTCTATAACACTTGTATTTAAAGGTATTTATGAGCTGTTCAGCTTGTTCAGTAAGTGCCCAGGTATCACAGACGTATGTTGCAATGGGAAAGATAAATGCTGTTAGAAATCTTTTATAGTTCTGCTTGTCCCACTCCATAATTTATTCAGTTGTTTCAGTCTTTGAAGAGCAGTTGATAGTTGTCATTTAATTTCTGTCATTGTGTCACCATTGTTGTTGGCAATCAATGACCCAAGATATTCACAATTACATATATACCACTACAAATTGCAGTAATCCCCTCAAACCCACTTGAATGTATGGCGATCCTTCTCTCTCTATTTCCTCGTCTCATCCCCCTCCCCTCCCACTCTGTCCGTTTCAAGCTGAAGATGGTATCAAGCACATAGCACGCTCTCTTTTGCTTCGGCGCTGATTCCTTTTATTCTCAAGAAGAAAACTCATTTAAAATGTATTTCATTGTAGGAAGTAAACAGTCATATTATTATTGGCTGCTTGCTGGGGAACACGGAGGGGATGTCATGAATGAGTCCTTACACACTGCCTCTCCAACTGCGCAGAACAGTCTCCAGAAATAAACGAAAACTTCAGGAAGAGATATGAGTAAACAGTTGTATTTATACCCCAGTGTGCACACATATTATGTCTGTTACTATTTGTCGTCTATTTCAGGATAAAATTTTTCTTTATTTGAAGCCCCAGACTGGCTCTTGCCAGGGGCCGCAATATAGAAAGCCCATAAATATGGCCAATTGGCTGAACGCGGTTTATTGGACCTCTCTACGGTGATCCTCATCCACATGGTGGCACTTTGTGTCATCGGGTGTTTATCGCTTGTTTGATGTCCCGGTGTGGTAGAAAGTCAGTCAGTTAGTCACATATTATGTCAACTATAGAAGTGTGGTTAGATTTCTCCCTTCTGGTTGTCTCCTTTGGATTCTTCGTGTTGTTGTGCTCTACGGACAGACACACGGCTCTTGAATGTAGAAGTGGCTTTCCTGGTCAATGGACTTACAATCTGAACGCCACCCTTAAACATTGTAGGTATGAGCTCTCACGGAGGGGGGGGGGTTGTGACGTGGGGGATGGGGGGGGTGGTCTGCATCACTGCCGATCCTTGATCTAGCTCTCATGCAGAGGGGAGGGGGGGTCTACGTCAATACCAGGGAGATGTGACACCTACAGCCCTGAATCTCCCTGACTCTTCTACGTTTTTCTGTTGCAGGACATTAGTAGAGCTTGTGGTACTTTGTAAAATAATAAATTGTGGAAGAGATAAAAACTAGAGCTTGTGGTACTTTGTCAAATAATCAATTGTGTGTAAAGTAGAGCTTGTGGGACTTTGTCAAATAATAAATTGTGGGAGGGATATAAAGTAGAGCATGTGGGACTTTGTCAAATAATCAATTGTGGGAGAGATATAAAGTAGGGCTTGTGGGGCTTTGTCAAATATTTAATTGTGGGAGAGATATAAAGTAGAGCTTGTGGGTCTTTGTCAAATAATAAATTTTGGGAGAGACGTAAAGTAGAGCTTGTGGTACTTTGTCAAAAAAATCAATTGTGGGAGAGATATAAAGTAGAGCTTGTGGGACTTTGTCAAATAATCATTTGAGGGAGAGATATAAAGTAGAGCTTGTGGGACTTTGTCAAATAATCAATTGTGGGAGAGATATAAAGTAGAGCATGTGCAACTTTGTCAAATAATCAATTGTGGGAGAGATGTAAACTAGAGCTAAAGGGACTTTGTCAAATAATCAATTGTGCTAGAGATACACAGTAGAGCTTGGTAGAACATACGTGAGATGTATAATTAGTAGAACATGTGTGAGAGATATAATTAGTAGAACACATGTGAGAGATACAATGGGTAGAACATGTGTGAGAGATATTATTAGTAGAACATATGTAAGAGATATGATTAGTAGAACATATGTGAGAGATATAATTAGTAGAAGATTTGTGAGAGATCTAATGGTAGAACATATGTGAGAGATATAATTAGTAGAACATATGTGAGGGATATAATTAGTAGAAAATATGTGAGAGATATAATAAGTAGAACATGTGTGAGAGATCTAATAGTAGAACATATGTGAGAGATATAATAAGTAGAACATGTGTGAGAGATATAATAAGTAGAACATATGTGAGAGATATAATAAGTAGAACATATGTGAGAGATATAATAAGTAGAACATGTGTAAGAGATATAATAAGTAGAACATGTGTGAGAGATCTAATGTTAGAAAATATGTGAGAGATATAATAAGTAGAACATGTGTGAGAGATATAATAAGTAGAACACATGTGAGAGATATAATAAATAGAACATGTGTGAGAGATATAATTAGTAGAAAATATGTGAGAGATATAATAAGTAGAACATATGTGAGAGATATAATAAGTAGAACGTGTGTGAGAGATATTATAAGTAGAACATGTGTGAGAGATATAATAAGTAGAACATGTGTGAGATATATAATAAGTAGAACATGTGTGAGAGATATAATAAGTAGAACACATGTGAGAGATATAATAAGTAGAACATATGTGAGAGATATAATAAGTAGAACATGTGTGAGAGATAAAATAGGTATAACATGTGTGAGAGATATAATAAGTAGAACATATGTGATAGATATAATAAGTAGAACATATGTGAGAGATATAATAAGTAGAACATGTGTGAGAGATATAATAAGTAGAACATGTGTGAGAGATCTAATGGTAGAACATATGTGAGAGATATAATAAGTAGAACATGTGTGAGAGATATAATAAGTAGAACACATGTGAGAGATATAATAAGTAGAACATGTGTGAGAGATATAATTAGTAGAAAATATGTGAGAGATATAATAAGTAGAACATATGTGAGAGATATAATAGGTAGAACATGTGTGAGAGATATAATAGGTAGAACATGTGTGAGAGATATAATAAGTAGAACATGTGTGAGGGATATAATAAGTAGAACATGTGTGAGAGATATAATAAGTAGAACATGTGTGAGAGATATAATAAGTAGAACATATGTGAGAGATATAATAAGTAGAACATGTGTGAGAGATATAATAAGTAGAACATGTGTGAGAGATATAATAAGTAGAACATGTGTGAGAGATATAATAAGTAGAAAATATGTGACAGATATAATAAGTAGAACATGTGTGAGAGATATAATAAGTAGAACATGTGTGAGAGATATAATTAGTAGAAAATATGTGAGAGATATAATTAGTAGAACATATGTGAGAGATATAATAAGTAGAACATGTGTGAGAGATATAATAAGTAGAACATGTGTGAGAGATATAATAAGTAGAACATGTGTGAGAGATCTAATAAGTAGAACATATGTGAGAGATATAATAAGTAGAACATGTGTGAGAGATATAATAAGTAGAACATATGTGAGAGATATAATAAGTAGAACATGTGTGAGAGATATAATAAGTAGAACATGTGTGAGAGATATAATTAGTAGAACATGTGCGAGAGATATAATAAGTAGAACATGTGTGAGAGATATGATAAGTAGAACATGTGTAGAGATATAATAAATAGAACATGTGTGAGAGATATAATAAGTAGAACATGTGTGAGAGATATAATAAGTAGAACATATGTGAGAGATATAATAAGTAGAACATGTGTGAGAGATATAATAAGTAGAACATGTGTGAGAGATATAATTAGTAGAACATGTGTGAGAGATATAATTAGTAGAACAGGTGTGGCGTATAATTAGCCGACTTTGGCGATTAATGAAAAATAAGTCCTGGAAAGAGAACAACAATGAGTTCTATGTTTTTTAATGATGCTTTCAGGGCGACAGAGCAGATGAGGGATCAAACAAACTAGACAACTCACATCTCATCTCTGCTCCGTGTTTTCCCTGCATGCAACTTTCTTGAACCTGGGCTCCCACACACACACATACACACACACACACATACACGCACACACACACAAAACACACACACACACACACACATATATATATATATATATATATATATATATATATATATACGCACGAACGCGCCCACACACACGCGCGCGCATACACATATACACACAAGTGGCAACTAACTACTAGTGATCTGTTAGCGTTAAAGGCTGTAAGTCAGTTATCTGTCGGTGATCTGCTCGTAACCTGCATCTTTCAAGTGTCAGACAATGATTGCATGGACAAGTGTTTGCCTGCTATGTCTGGCATGGACCCTCTGGCTGGATCCATCACATGCCGCAGGTAAGTGCTCACCCTGTAGGTGGAAATTATTCCTGATTCTCGTTGTTTTCATGTATCAGACAGATGTGCATAACCAGTCAGAGCTTGATAACTGACAGAGTCATCCCAGACTGGTTCCAAACCTGTCTATATAGTCGTCACACACTGGTTTCAAACCTGCCTACATAGTCGTCACACACTGGTATCAAACCTGTCTACATAGTCGTCACAGACTGGTTCCAAACATGTCTACATAGTCGTCACACACTGGTTTCAAACCTGTCTACATAGTCGCCACAGACTGGTTCCAAACATGTCTATATAGTCGTCACACACTGGTTTCAAACCTGTCTACATATCACAGACTGGTTTCAAACCAGGCTACATAGTCATCACAGACTGGTTTTAAACCGGTCTACATAGTCATCACAGACTGGTTTCAAACCTGTCTACATAGTCATCACAGACTGGTTTTAAACCGGTTTAAAAAAGTCATCACAGACTGGTTTCAAACCTGTCTACAGAGCCATCACATACTGGTTTTAAACCTGTCTACATAGTCATCACACACTGGTTTCAAACCTGTCTACATATCACAGACTGGTTTCAAACCAGGCTACAAAGTCATCACAGACTGGTTTTAAACCGGTCTACACAGTCATCTCAGACTGGTTTGAAACCTGCCTACATTAGGACTTATGGTCAAGCAACTCGTTTGCTCGTTCTATCTTTTTGTCAAGTTTATTATCCTAGTCCCACGCATCATAAACGTAATCAACAGACACATACGCACATATATACACACAGAAGCACAAACAGACAACAGCACCAGCTCTTTTTTTTTTTAATCTTTTCTTTAAAGGCAACTGACATTTTTTCTCATTCTTTTTATTGTAACACCTGAACGCAAAAACGATAAGGCATAAGTTTTACTTGCTCTTTGATTTGGTAGAGGTTTACATACATAGCTCCTTAATGCATAAGAGGTTTTCAGACAAAGCGCCTTAATGCATTAGAAGTTTACAAACAAAACGCCTCAATGACTATGAAGTTTACAGACATGGCGCCTGAATGCATATTAGGTTTACAGACAAAAAGCATTGTTGCATTAGAGGTTTAAAGACATAGTGCCTGAATGCATTAGAGATTTACAGACATAGCGCCTGAATGCATTAAAGGTTTACAGACAAAACGCATTAATGCATTAGAGGTTGACATAGCGCATGAATGCGTTAGAGGTTTACAGATATAGCGCCTGAAAGCATTAGAGGTTTACAGACAAATCGTTTGAATGCATTAGAGGTTGACATAGCGCATGAATGCATTATAGGTTGGCAGACATTACGCCTGAATGCATTCGAGGTTGACAGACATAGCGCTTGAATGCATTAGAGGTTGGCAAACATAACGCATAAATGCATTCGAGGTCGACAGGCATAGCGCCTGAATGCATTCGAGGTTGACAGACATAGCGCCTGAATGCATTCGATGTTGACAGACATTGCGTCTCAATGCTCTAGAGGTTTACAGACATAGCGTCTAAATGCCTTAGAGGTTTACAGACATAGCGCCTGAATGCCTTAGAGCTTTACAGGCATAGCGCCTGAATGCCTTAGAGATTTGCAGACACAGCGCCTAAATGCCTTAGAGGTTTACAGAGATAGCGCCTGAATGCCTTAGAGGTTTACAGACATAGCGCCTGAATGCCTTAGAGGTTTACAGACATAGCACCTGAATGCATTAGAGGTTTACAGACAAAACGCATTAATGCATTAGATGTTGACATGGCGCATGAATGCATTATAGGTTTGCAGAGCGCCTGTATGCATTTGAGGTTGACAGACACATCGCCTGAATGCATTATAGGTTTGAAGACATAACACCTGAATACATGAGAGGTTTACAAACAAAACGCATTAATGCATTAGAGGTTGACATAACGCATGAATGCATTATAGGTTTGCAGACAGCGCCTGAATGCAATCGAGATTGACAGACATAGCGCATGAATGCATTATAGGTTTGCAGAAATAGTGTCTGAATGCATTCGAGGTTGCAAGACATAGCGCCTGAATGCATTCAACATTGACAGACATAGCGCCTAATAGCATTCGAAATTGACAGACATATCACCTGAATGCATTCGAGGTTGACAGACATAGCGCCTGAATGCTTTAGAGGTTTACAGACAAAAAGCATTAATGCATTAGAGGTTGACATAGCGTATGAATGCTTTATAGGTTTGCAGACAAAGCACCTGAATGCATTTGAGGTTGGCAGACATAGCGCCAGAATGCATTCGAGGTTGGCAGACATAGCACCTGAATGCATTCGAGGTTGACAAACATAGCGCCTGAATGCCTCAGAGATTTATAGACATAGCACCTGAATGCCTTAGAGATTTAAAGACATAGCACCCGAATGCCTTAGAGGTTGACAGACATAGCGTCTGAATGCCTTAGAGGTTGACAGACATAGCGCCTGAATGCATTCAAGGTTGACGGACATAGCGCCTGAATGCCTCAGAGATTTATAGACATAGCACCTGAATGCCTTAGAGATTTAAAGACATAGCACCCGAATGCCTTAGAGGTTGACAAACATAGCGTCTGAATGCCTTAGAGGTTGACAGACATAGCGCCTGGGTGCATTCGAGGTTGACGGACATAGCGCCTGAATGCATTCGAGGTTGACAGACATAGAGCCTGAATGCATTCGAGGTTGACAGACATAGCGCCTGAATGCATTCGAGGTTGACAGACATTGCGTCTGAATGCATTAGAGGTTGACATAGAGCCTGAATGCATTTGAGGTTGACAGACAAAACGTATTAATGCATTCGAGGTTGACAGACATAGCGCCTGAATGCATTAGAGATTTGTAGACTTTTTGTTTGATGGTGGATCGACTTCCAGAGGCTACATAGGACTCCACTTTGGCCCTTTCCTCAGTCGCGAGGGCACTGGCCGCTGTCTCAGCTTTCCAGGACACTAACCACCACCCACGCCATCTTGGCCACTGTCCGGAGTTTTAGCCTGTGAGGGCACTGACCACTGGGCCAGTAGGGTGTGGATGACTATTTTGTCCTGCATAATTTAATGCCTAGCCCTTGACTCTTCAAACCCAGATATATGTAAGTTACTCTCGTGTCTTTAAGCGCAGTCACAAAAGTCGAATAATAGTGTTTAGCGCACACACTAGACAACAGCACACTGGAAAGCTTCAGTAACTACACATACAGGTAGACAAGATTGTTCGACTGTGTCATCTGTCGGACTGTCCACTCTACAGATGTCAGGGAGGACTTCCTAGAGGAGCTCAGCGGCGTCTTCACCGACGCCAGCCAGATCCAGGATGGCGACACCAACCGTGACGTTCTAGAGTTTCGCATCCGACGTGTGGATGTCCCGGCATTACAACCTGCAAGTGTCTCTCTACTGTCTTCTACCTCATCACTGTCTAATGCTGTCTTTTACAACATCACCGTCTTCTTCTACCTTCTTCATCACTACTGTCCAGTACAACAGCACTGTTTTCTGTTTTCTTGTATATTATTTCATGTTTTATTCTTTCTTCCACAGCGTTACTTACTGTCTTCTACTGTCGTTGAAATCATTACATTTTTTTAAACTTTCATAACTGAGTGAAACCTGCCTTCCTACGTTTTTTTTTTTTCTACTACATATTATTTAGAGCTGTACATTTGCAAAAAGGGACCTTGGCTTCCATGTCGACCTAGCATTACATGGGTGCCGGGTAAAGTCCTTGGAAGTAAAGGCAGTCGGCGTGATATTGACCACACCACCACAACACTAGTAGTTAGGTCTAGCCTGAAGTTTTTGAGCTCATTATTTTTACCCTAGAGTGTAAATTACCCCAAAAGTTTTACATTAGAATATGTATTTTACTGATAATGTTCACCATAGAATATGTTATTTACTTGATTATTTTCATCTTAGAAGCTGTTATTTAGCTGATAATTTTTGATTAGAGCTTGTAATTAGGCTTATTTGTTTCACTATATAGCCTATAATTTAGCTAATTATTATTACCACAAAGCTGTAATTTAGCTGATTTTTTTTTTCGCCACAAAATCTGTAATTTAGCTGATTATTTGTTAATAATCTTTTTGTTAACTACCTATTTGTTAACCATCTATTTGTTAACCATCAATTTGTTAACCATCAATTTGTTACCAATCTATTCGTTAACTATCTATTTGTTAACCATCAATTTGTTAACCATCAATTTGTTAACCATCTATTTGTTAACAATCTATTTGTTACCATCTATGTGTTAATCATCTATTTGTTAAACATCTATGTGTTAACCATCTATTTGTTAACCATCTATTTGTTAACAGTCTATTTGTTAACCATTTATTTGTTAACCATCTATTTGTTAACAGTCTATTTGTTAACCATCTATTTGTTAACCATCTATTTGTAAACAGTCTATTTGTTAAACATCTATGTGTTAACCATCTATTTGTTAACCATCTATTTGTTAACAGTCTATTTGTTAACCATCTATTTGTTAACCATCTATTTGTTAACAGTCTATTCGTTAATCATCTATTTGTTAACCATCTATTTGTTAACCATCTATTTGTAAACAGTCTATTTGTCAACCATCTATTTGTTAGCCATCTACTTGTTACCCATATATTTGTTAACCATCGGTTTGTTAACCATCTATTTGTTACCATCTATTTGTTAACCATCTATTTGTTGTCGCGGTCGTTGCGAAGTGGATAGATGCTTTTGTGATGAGTAGGAGTTTACCTCTCAACACTTCACCTCCACCTCAACTCTGACAAAAGTCCTGGATATCCAAGAAAACAGCTATATTTGGCTCATCGAGAAAATACACAATAGCTGCACTTAGTACCCACAGAAGTAGGAGAAGGGATAGATATTAAGATGAACCCATTGAGATATCAAGATACACAGTTAACCCCTCCGAATTTCTCCTTAATATTATTTAATGAGCACCCACCAAATGCTATTCCATCTTAACAGTGTAAATAAACATGTAAGAACAGACACACTTGGAATTACAAAAACTGATGCAGAATAAGACAATATAATTAATTTTTTAACCGAGCAATCTGTGGATGACTCGTCATTATTATTAGTATAAACAGTGATGGTATGGTGGTAATGAGAGGCTTCAGCTAGATAACTGAGTACCTAGGATTAGAGTAAAGTGATAATGGTGGTGTTTAGTTACATAAATACATGGTACGTAACAATTTTTAGAAAGTGGAACCTCTGAGAGCCCTCGTTTTGAGTCCCTTTTTAGCTGTTCCAACTTTTCCTCCCAGTTCTTTTGGTTCCTAGCTAGCCTTTCACCTGGTTTCTCCAGGTTCTCCACCTTGTTCCTAGCTGGCCTTTCACCTGGTTTCTCTAGGTTCTCCACCTTGTTCCCAGCTGGCCTTTCACCTGGTTTCTCCAGGTTCTCCTTGTTCCCAGCTGGCCGAGTTCTAACACAATGTAGTTTTGTGCACGTGATGATCCTCTATTTCTGTTCTCAGAAAGGACTGATCGACACCCACATGGGAGCTGGAACCGTTCCAGCAATTGCCAAACAAGACTCAGCGAGTGAAAAATACTTTCTACTGTAGTTCTGAGTTTGTGGCTTGCTGGCGGCACTATAAGGTAGTTTTGAAATGCTCGCAGTATAAGTATCAATCTATTGTCCAAATTAAACTCCTTCCCTTATTAGGTTCTACCCTACCCTCAAGGAGATGTTCTAAGCCACGCCCCTGATGTACCTTGCAGATCAAAATAGCTATCAATAGGCCTGTCACTCAAAGTGAACGGCCTTCCGAAGATCACACATTCTTAATTGGTAAACATCTGCTCTCTAGCCAATTTAACTAGCAAGTGTGAAAAACTGTCCAGGGGACGCCATTAGGTCTGGAGTTGTCTACCAGATCACCTAATTCCTCTGATCTGCTCTGTTCAAAAGGCCCCACTCAGTCTGCGTTACGTCACATTTATGACACTAAGGTTTGGCTAATGGGAGATAATCTCAGGTGTGATAATTAGTTCCCCATTAGCTCGCCCCTACCGACTGTGGTCATGAGATAAATTATATGACACCAGTTCTACAATCAAACATTACAGCCACTAGTATGAACTTTCCCAGGTAGACCCGCGGGCTGTATTACGTAATGCTATGTAATATTAAACAAAGCTCAGTTGCTTTGTCTAAGCAAAGGACTGGAAACATTTAAATCCATGTGGTTTAAAGTAATATTTGGGTTGAGGGCATAGTAAATCTAATTCTCTGTCTCACTATCTAGAAGAAATTATTACAAGTACTAAGTTCTGAAACCACTGAGGTAGTTTCGTCACATTTGTTAACCATCTATTTGTTAACCATCTCGGTTTATCTGGGTCAAGATTCGACATCACAACAGTCAGGACATCCCTGTTTTATTTCCGCCCCCCTCCCCCCCCCCACCCCCACCCCACTCAACAGACAGCCACGAGTTATTATACTGATGGAACCCGTTGTCTTTGATGTTTGAGGTTTGAACAAAGGATGAAGTCTGATGGAACCCGTTGTCTCTGATGTTTGAGGTTTGAACAAAGGATGAAGTCTGATGGAACCCGTTGTCTCTGATGTTTGAGGTTTGAACAAAGGATGAAGACTGTGTCCGAAGAAGCTCAGCACAATGCAGTCTATATAGCACCGGCGAGGATCCTAAAACACTTTGGGTAGACTTTCAACTCCAAATGTTGCCCGAGCAGCGCCGTTAGGCTACTCTTTTTAATTTCCAACTGCCACGGAATTTTTTACGTGCGCAACAATGCACTCGGGCGTCCGATTTCACTACACAGAGACCAGGGGAAATTACTAGAAGTCCAAGTCCACGTAAAAAAATTCCAGTCCTTACCTTGGACTGAACCCAGAACCTCTAGCAGTCGAGGTGGACGCCATGTCTGGAGTCTACGCAGCTTCACCTGTTGTCATCTGGTTACTACTTGTCTTGTCCTTTCTCTGAGTCTCGATTGGCGTCCAGAGCCCACAGCCACTCCTGGTTTTATCATTCTCTCTAGGTACGGACTTTCAGTATCTTCCATCATCTGTTACCCTAAGCTATATGTTTGAGATCCCTTTTGCCTTGTGTACTTGCAGTAAACCTCCAAAATGGGAGCCTGTTCTTTCCCACACACTACTTAATAGCCAGTGGGAAAAATCCACGCAACTGTCATCACCTGCGAGGTCTGGATTAATGAAATCCATTCCATAGAAGAAAACTGGACTCCACCTTGCTGATAACACTTTGTCAATCCAATACTATGGCAACATTTGTGGCTAGTATGTTTTAGCCAAACAGCCTGTGGTTTAACCTGTTGCTGTTGTCATGGAGGAATTGTAGCGTTGAGGTCAACCTGTTGCTGTTGTCATGGAAGAATTGTAGCGTTGAGGTCAACCTGTTGCTGTTGTCATGGAGGAATTGTAGCGTTGAGGTCAACCTGTTGCTGTTGTCATGGAGGAATTGTAGCGTTGAGGTCAACCTGTTGCTGTTGTCATGGAAGAATTGTAGCGTTAAGGTCAACCTGTTGCTGTTGTCAAAAAAGATTTAAACGTTGAGGTCAACCTGTTGCTGTTGTCGTGGAAGACTTGTAGCGTTGAGGTCAACCTGTTGCTGTTGTATTGGAAAAATTGTAGCGTTGAGGTCAATCTGTTGCTGCTGTATTGGAATACTTGTAGCGTTGCGGTCAACCTGTTGCTGTTGCATTAGAAGACTTGTAGCGTTGATGTAAACCTGTTGCTGTTGTATTGGAAGACGTTTAGCGTTGAGGTCAACCTGTTGCTGTTGCATTGAAAGACTTGTACTTGTCGCGTTGAGGTCAACCTAATGCTGATGTCAAGAAAGACTTTTAGCGTTGGGGCTACCTGTTGCTGTTGTCGTAAAAGACTTGTAGCGTTGAGGTTAAAATGTTGCTGTTGTCAAGGAAGACTTGTAGCGTTGGGGTCAACCTGTTGCTGTTGTATTGGAAGACTTGTAGCGTTAAGGTCAACCTGTTGCTGTGGTCTTAGAAGACTTGTAGCGTTGAGGTCAAAATGTGGCTGTCGTCAAGGAAGACTTGCAGCGTTGAGGTCAACCTATTGCTGTTGTTTTGGAAGACTTTTAGCGTAAAGTCAACCTCTTGCTGTTGTATTGGAAGACGTGTGGCGTTGAGGTCAACCTGTTGCTGTTGTCGTAGAAGACTTGTAGCGCTGAGGTCGAAATTTTGCTGTTGTCAAGAAAGACTTGTAGCGTTGGGGTCGACCTGTTGCTGTTGTAGTGGAAGACTTGTAGCGTTGAGGTCAACTTGTTGCTGTTGTATTGGAATACTTGTAGCGTTAGGGTCAACCGGTTGCTGTTGTTTTGGAAGAATTGTAGCGTTGAGGTCAACCTATTGCTGTTGTCGTAGAAGACTTGTAGCGTTGGGTTCAACCTGTTGCTGTTTTCGTAGAAGACTTTATCGTTGAGGTCAAAATGTTGCTGTTGTCAAGTAAGACTTGTAACGTTGAGGTCAACCTGTTGCTGTTGTATTGGAAGACTTTTAGCGTTGAGGTCATCCTGTTACTGTTGTATTGGAAGACTTGTAGCGTTAAGGTCAACCTGTTGCTGGTGTCATGGAAGACTTGTAGCGTTAGGGTCAACCTGTTGCTGTTGTCGTAGAAGCCTTTTTCGTTGAGGTCAATATGTTGCTGTTGTATTGGAAGACTTGTCGCGTTGAGGTCAGGCTGTTGCTGTTGTATTGTAGGACTTGTAGCGTTAAGGTCAACCTGTTGCTGATGTCATGGAAGACTTGTAGATGTTGCTGTTGTATTGGAAGACTTTTAGCGTTGAGGTCAGGTTGTTGCTGTTGTATTGAAAGAGTGTAGCGTTGAGGTCATTGAATGCTTGTGTTCTTGCAGGCTCTGGCTCTGTACTTTGTGGAGCTAATCAAAGGACAGCCGTTCCGGCGAACTGTTTTGGGCGTGTCGCCCGCTGTCGGCAAGAAGCTTCTCGTGGTTCAGTATAACATTTCTGAGTCAAAATACCCTAGGTATTTATTGCTTGTGTGTACGTCACAAATGTTGTTTGTTGGTGTGTATGTTTCTTTGTGTATGTATGTGTGTATATCCGTGTGTTTCCCTAAATCTCTAAATGTTTTCGTGTGTTCGCATTTGCCATATGATGGTCTTTATGTGTGCGTCCCTGTGTGTTTCTGTGTGTGCGTGGTTTTTGACATTTAACACACGGAGAATGTAGCACAGAATCATATAGGTCAAATAACATGATGCGCCACAGACCACGGAATGTAGCACAAACTCAAAATGCAACACAAACCTAGAGAATATAGCTCAAATACATAATGTAGTACAAACATAAAATGTTACACAAACCTACAGATTGTAGCACGAACCAACACAAGGTAGCACAAAAACAAAATGTAGACCAAAAAAACAAAATGTAGCACACAAAAAATCAAGTAGCACAAACTCACAAGATTTAGCAAAAACACGGAATGCAGCACACGCACAAAATGTATGCAACCCTACAGAATGTAGCACAAACCCAGAATGTAGCACAAACACAGAATGTAGCAAAAACACAGAATGTACACAAATACAGAATGTAGCACAAACACAGAATGTACACAAACACATAGAATGTAGCATAAACACACCGAATGTAACACAGCCACAGAATGTAGCACAAACACATTTTAGAGCAACAAAACTTCATGTAGCACAAACCCACAGGACAAATCACAAACAAAGAACGTAGCACAAGCAAACCTACAAAATCTCGTACAAACACATAATTAAGCACAAACTCCAAGAATGTAGCATAAACACAAACAATGTAGCACAAACTACATAAGGAAGAAAAATACAAAATTCAGAACAAACAGAATGTGCACAAAAGTGTGTAAAAATACAAGATTATGACAACAAAATAGAGTGTGAAAAAAAGTGTGTACTAACACAAGAGTATGCAGGGGTAAAAAAAAATGGGTGAACAAGAGAGTGTGTGAATACAAGAGCTGAAGACTGAGACGGTGTGAACATATCCACAAGTGACGAGAGCTGGACTGAAGACTGAGATGGTGTGAACATATCCACAAGTGACGGGAGCTGGGCTGAAGACTAAGACGGTGTGAAGATATCCACAAGTGACAGGAGCTGGGCTGAAGACTGAGACGGTGTGAACATATCCACAAGTGACGGGAGCTGGGCTGAAGACTGAGACGGTGCGAACATATCCACGGGTGACGGGAGCTGGGCTGAAGACTGAGACGATGTGAACAATTCACAAGTGACGAGAGCTGGGCTGAACATATCCACACGTGACAGGAGCTGGGCTAAAGACCGAGACGGTGCGTACATATCACAGAGTGACGGAAGCACAGCTAAAGACCGAGACGGTGTGGACATATCCACGAGTGACGGGAGCTGGGCTGAAGACTGAGACGGTGTGAACATATCCACGAGTGGCAGGAGCTGGGCTGAAGACTAAGGCGGTGTGAAGATATCCACAAGTGATGGAAGCTGGGCTGAAGACTGAGACGGTGTAAACATAGCTACAAGTGACGGGAGCTGGGCTGAAGACTGAGACAGTGTGAACATATCCACAAGTGACGGGAGCTGGGCTAAAGACTAAGACGGTGTGAAGATATCCACAAGTGACGGAAGCTAGGCTGGAGACTGAGACGGTGTAAACATATCCACAAGTGACGGGAGCTGGGCTGAAGACTAAGACGGTGTGAAGATATCCACAAGTGACGGAAGCTAGGCTGGAGACTGAGACGGTGTAAACATATCCACAAGTGACGGGAGCTGGGCTGAAGACTGAGACGGTGTGAAGATATCCACAAGTGACGGGAGCTGGGCTGAAGACTAAGACGGTGTGAAGATATCCACAAGTGACGGGAGCTGGGCTGAAGACTGAGACGGTGTGAACAAAACCACAAGTGACGGGAGCTGGGCTGAAGACTGAGACGGTGCGAACATATTCACGGGTGACGGGAGCTGGGCTAAAGACTGAGACGGTGTGAACATATCCATAAGTGACGGAAGCTGGGCTTAAGACTGAGACGGTGTGAACAAAAGAATGTGTGAATAAAGAGTATGTGAACAAACGAGTCTGTTTAAACACATGTTGTAGCACAAACCCACAGAAAAAAAAACATGGAATGTAGCATATACCTATAGAATGTTACATAAACGCAGAGAATGTGATCAACAAATGTACAGCTGACACAGACGATGTGATAATCTCAACACCTGTAAAGCTGACACAGTGAGGTAATCTCAACATGTGTACAGCTGACATAATAAGGTAATCTCAACATGTGTACAGCTGACATAAAAAGGTAATCTCAACATGTGTAAAGCTGACACAGTGAGGTAATCTCAACATGTGTACAGCTGACATAATAAGGTAATCTCAACATGTGTACAGCTGACATAAAAAGGTAATCTCAACATGTAAACAGCTGACAAAATAAAGAAATCTCAATATGTGTACAGCTGATACAATGAGGAAATCTTTACACCTGTACACCTGACAAAATTAGGTAATCTTAACACCTGTACAGCTGACATAATAAGGTAATCTCAACATGTGTACAGCTGACACAATGAGGTAATCTCAACATGTGTACAGCTGACGTAATAATGTAATCTCAACATGTGTACAGCTGACATAATAACGTAATCTCAACATGTGTACAGCTGATACAATGAGGTAATCTTTACACATGTACACCTGACACAATGAGGTAATCTCAACATGTGTACACCTGACACAATGAGGTAATCTCAACATGTGTACAGCTGGCACAATGAGGTAATCACAAAACCTGTACAGCTGACACAGACCATAGGGTATTTTCAAGATGTCTACATCTGACACTGTCGATGAGATAAGCTCGACATGTCTACATCTGACACTGTCGATGAGGTAATCTCGACGTCTACATCTGACACTGACGATGAGGTAGTCTCCACATGTCTACATCTGACACTGTCGATAAGATCATCTTGACATGTCTACGTCTGACACTGACGATGAGGTAGTCTCCACATGTCTACATCTGACACTGTCGATTAGATCATCTTGACATGTCTACGTCTGACACTGACGATGAGGTAGTCTCCACATGTCTACATCTGACACTGACAATGAGGTAGTCTTCACATGTCTACACCTGACACTGTCGATGAGATAATCTCCACATGTCTACATCTGACACTGTCGATGAGATCAACTGGACATGTCTACATCTGACACTGTCGATGAGATCATCTTGACATGTCTACGTCTGACACTGTCGATGAGATAATCTCCACATGTCTACATCTGACACTGTCGATGAGGTAATCTCGACGTCTACATCTGACACTGTCGATGAGATCATCTTGACATGTCTACGTCTGACACTGTCGATGA